GGGGTCTTTTCGCTACGCACACATGCGTATTTTTATTCACGTCTCATGATTTTGAATCATACCAGTGTCTCAGAAGATTCGACTATAAATGTTCTATTTTATTGTTGTTCAAATAGTATAGACGAATACTTAACTTGTCAGTTCGTCAAGTTGTTTCTACTCAATTTTTTGTAGATTGTGAGAATAAATATGTACAGTCACTTGACACTATCTTTTAGATTACATATTTCATTTTCGTCTGGTGTTCTGTCGATAAAAGAACTGCTTTTTGCTCGGCTCCGATCGCTCTGTGTCTTTCTCAGTGCATTATTTTTGGTTGTTGTGTAACATTGCGCCGATTACAAGCTTCGACTAGATTACGGTAGCGTCCACAAACATTCGACAATGCATATTGCTGTTGAATTAAACCTCAAAACTCTGCCTCTTGATATAACTCTAAGTTGAATACAATCGATTCCTAAAAACTCGAAGGTAGAGCTGAAAAGGAATGGAAATTTGTTGCAATCTAGCGTAATGTAGCTACGACATGGCAGCACTAATTAATTATTTTTGAAGCATCTACCTGGCCAATAAGAATACGACTATCCAAAAAAGAACGTATAGGGGGTGATAACGCAATACATTCAAAAATTTTTTGCTATCATCTTAGCAAAAAATTAGACCAGCGCTTTATGGTATAGCTTTTACCCTAGTTACGCTGATGTCAAACTACCCTAGCAGGAAAAAATTACATAAAAACTCTGAAGAAGTACTTTTGAACAGCACTGGTGCCTATTATTATGGCAAAACTTTTATAATTTCGTTTAAAGAGCCAGACCACGAATAGGGAGGATATACATGCGTTAGCTATCACAGCAGTAGTTGACGATTAAATTACTTCTGGTTTCACTTTGATTTAATTTTCTTGTAAGTAAGTTTTGTAACTTTGAGTGTGTTAGCTTTGACAAAATTATAGACAATGATTATGTTTTCACTAGCCTGCGTGGGATTGGCATGCATTATATTATACAATATGTTAGCGATCAGATTTGTATTCAAGGTTTTATCTTCTTTTTCGCTTCTTAGAAAGTCAAAAACGGCGTATTAGAGTTGATGCAGCAATTTTTTGTTCTTTTTCCCGTTAAATCACAGTGAAAATAGCCAGAAAAGAAGCAATCCGTATTCTGCGAGATCACTTTCACATAATACTGGTATAAGACATACAAGTAATCACTGGAAGCTTTTTAAGCCCTTAACTAATCAAAAAAACTCCTTAATAAGGTTGCCTCTAAACCACTGTATTTTTTTGCACATCCCCAGTTTTAGGATATTGTTGCAGATATTGGAGAATCAAGTCGCGTAGATCAGCGGTTATCGCCAGCAACCTCAATCCAGAAACTAATCATTCCATTAGAGTACAACTTTCGCTTTTGAATAATGGTGACTAGTTCATTTGTTCGTGAAGTACGCAAGAATGCCAAAAATAAATGGCTTATGATTTTATTGGGGAACTTTCATGCTGTTATATCGCTTAACAGGGAAAGTTCATGAGGGTCAAATTTTGGAAAAGCGATCGACATCTCCAGGGACGTGCCGGATATTACATGCCATTCCCTAATAGTGATCGATCGTTGGTCTATCGCAACACTCGTTGGAAAGAATCAGTGCTACGATATGGATAAATGCAAATCGAAACTATTTAGTGAACTTTTTTTGTAGAAAGTCATTTGAAAACTGCTTTTTTTGTTGCACATGCTGTCAATACTCTTTTTCTCCGGTAGTAAAGTAAACGAGAAGAGAAAGCGAAGAAACAGGGGTACGAAGGGCGACTTTTACTTATAAAGAAGAATTTTGGAGAAATGCAGACTTATACATTATTCAAAGTCAAGTTTTAAAGCGAGCAAGCTTATTAGCGAGATGGCTTGGTTTTTACTTTCAGATTGCTTAACAAACAAGCAAAATTATTCGAGTATCATTGAGTGCTTGATAAGTCTTTGAATATATGTTTTTTGTGTGTCTAGAATACTTCTGAGCATGAGACATTATTCTCCGAGCTTTCTGGGAAAAGAAATGCCTACTAGTAATTGGCAGATGTTGTTCGCGAAAGTAGT